GAGTTTGCTTTGGCTGCACTGGTTCTGCCGGCTGGGTTGCGACAGGCTCTGGCGGCTGAACCGGTTGCTGAACTGGTGGTGGTTCAACAGGCTGCACTGGTTCTGCCGGCTGGGTTGCGACAGGCTCTGGCGGCTGAACTGGTGGCAAAGGTGGAGTTTGCTTTGGCTGCACTGGTTCTGCCGGCTGGGTTGCGACAGGCTCTCGCAGCTGAACCGGTTGCTGCACTGGTGGTTCAACAGGCTGCACTGGTTCTGCCGGCTGGGTTGCGACAGGCTCTGGCGGCTGAACCGGTTGCTGCACTGGTGGTTCAACAGGCTGCACTGGTTCTGCCGGCTGGGTTGCGACAGGCTCTGGCAGCTGAACCGGTTGCTGCACAGGTGGTTCAACAGGCTGCACTGGTTCTGCCGGCTGGGTTGCGACAGGCTCTGGCGGCTGAACCGGTTGCTGCACTGGTGGTGGTTCAACAGGCTGCACCAATGAGCTAGCAGGCAAAGGCCTGTCCTTTGGTGGTAGTGGAGGATGCACGACTTGTGGGAGCGGCGGCAATGGTTGGTGAGGTGGTTGCAGCCCAACTGGTTTGCTTTCCTCACACAATGAACTCTATCAAAAACTCAATCCAATGAAACTACAAACTGACTGACCAATCAACAATACATCCTCCACTACAACAAACCTGAATGATAACTTTTGTCAGAGAGGATGGGCTGTGACCTGCTATAACCATCATTTATGATTACTGATGAATTAGGATCACGTCTGACTTGAAGCAGCCTTGTCTTAAACTGTGCAAAAACATGATCCCACCAGCAACAAGCAGATCATTGCGAGGTCCTGGTCAGTGACGTCGGCCATGCGCCCCGGAGTTAGAGCTGCCTCGAGATCGACCAATATACAATCAAAAACATAACCCCACATCATATCACCAAACAAAGTATATAACAGGTTGCAGTGCAACAGTCAGTCTTCTTTTGCTTAATGACTTGTGACAACTGTTTGTATTTGTGCTTCCGACCTGAGCTTCCTGAGATAAAGAAATGTCTTGCCGATGATCAAGGTTGTTTGCCATCCTCTGTAACTGATCCTGTGACAAATCTGCAAGCTGCACCGTCTTGACTCCAGCCCTGCCAGCCGGTGTGCCCTGACTTGGATCAGTAGGCGCCTGCCGTTGAATCAAGCAACAGGTATGTAACAGCCCGAACCTTGAAGTGGATGATAACTATAAAATATGTTTGTTAATATTAAACGTGTGCTTCTTAAAGTGACTAACACTCAATTGCTGCTGATGATGGGTTCTGAGTTCTGACTGCTTCAGCACAATCAATTGGACAATGCCAATGTCTACTCCCACCTCAGGTGCATTGTCATGTCCTCCTCCACTGAACAGATCTTCAACCTCAAGAAAAAATAATCAGACTGTCAGAAACAAAATGCGACATATGAATGCGTCTGTACATTTGCAGGCTCAGTCAGACTCACTTTCACAGTGACTGCCATCAAACTACCATGATTTCTGCAACCAAAAGACCCAGACTGATGGCTTGGAACCGGAAACAGTGTAAAGGAATTCTTTGCCAGTGCTTTTTGACTTGGCCACCTTCCACTCATCACTTTTGTCACACAAAGGCAGCCATTGAGATGAGTTTAGTGTCATATGGTGTGCGTAGAAGGTCTTGGAAGTATCACTGAAGGCCACACGAACAGAATACTCGGTGTCCGCCTGACAAGGGCAACTGAACAAGGTGAACTCATTTAATTAGTTTTGGTTTGATTGTCATTCAACATTTCCATGTACACTCAGACAGAGATTAACATAATGCTGGCTGGTGCCCTTGCCTTTGATGAGGGTGCAGGTTCTGATGGTTCTGGCGGCTTCTCAAAGTCTGACGGAGCGTCAGTATGTACTCCCTTGGAATCAAGAGGCAGCCAATGTACCCAAACACCATCCATCATGTTGGCTCATCAAGTAATAGTATTTTGTGTGACATCAACAGTGCATTTCACCAAGCTACATCATCTGACATCCGACTGGAGGCCAAATCACTCTGACAGGGAGTCTGTGGAGCAGACGTTACTGCTGACGCAAGCTGGAGAAGCTGAGCATGTTGATGTCCAGAATGCACTGACATTGTCGCAAGATGCCCCGCAATCGACGATGCTGGTGTCAGAGCTGCTGATGCCACACTTGGGGCTGGAGAACCGCCAGTGGTCGTTGATGGCGCTGATACTGGCGGACCCGAAGATGTTTGCTGAATGGTTTCAGCATCTGCCATAAACTCCTCAAGCCACATTGCATTACTCCCGTTGGAAGCAAACCACTTGCCAGTCGACCTTGACTTGAGTCAGTCATTGAGTGCATCTGATTGATTGTGATTCTAGTAGTTTTAGAAACAAAAGTGATAACAAAGGAACATAGGAAAACTCCACACCTAATTCAAAACACGGCGCGGATCATGTGCCAGCTGCCATCTATGCGCAGGACTTGGGTTGGGAGGAAGCCACTTGGTCTTGTTGTTCCAGGACACCGCTGAAGCTGAACCATCAGGCGTATTCACAATGGTCGGAGCAGATGCCTGTTCAAGCCTCATTGCTTCTGCCTTTCGTTGCTTCATAGTTGACACAATGGCATCCAGTGTCATGCTCCCATCAATGCACTCAACACCAGCTTTCTGCCGACGTGTATGCTCGGCACCCACCATCTGAAGCCAACTTGAGCCTTATTCAGAAAGTCAGTCAGTCACAATCAGAATTAAAGCCACCTACTGACACTGAAGCCAAGCCTGTTACACACCTGAAAAAAAACACTGAAATTTAACCAACAACACACAATGACAACTCATGGATCAATGATTTGATGATTGATGTGCTCAGACTTGCAAGTGGTTCTACAAACAGCCAAGCAACGTTCTGTGCAATTCAACTTGGAGTTGCCGTGCAGTCCAAGCGCATACTGGAAGATCAAAGAGGTGTCGCCATGGTCATACTTGTCCATGATCATGAGATTGCACTCAATGGGGTTCACAACCCCAAGGGCGTTTCTAAGATCAAACAAACTCAAGTCTGCGACTGTTGTCCATCCAGACGAGAATCTGGCACTGTTGCATTGCCTGGGCCGCTTTGGATTTGGCGGATCTTGACTGCCATGACCTCCACTGAGCGCTTTCTGGCGATTTGGGACAGATTGAGTACGCTTCTGCCCACCTTTGGCGTTGGCTGCCTGCAACATGCCCACAAGTTGTTCAAGGGTTTGATTAGCCACTCCTCCAAACGGAGGAGGAGCTAGTTCTGCAGCTGCCATAGGCTTTGGCATCGCCATCGTGCCACCGGAAGCAGGAACCATTGCCAATGAATGCGGCGGTGGCGGTGAGCAGGGCGCCACAGGCGGTGGTGTCATCACTTGTTGAGGATGACACTGAGCCGAGGCTGCCTGCTGCGACCACACCTGTCCTGGCGGCGGTCCAGAAGGAAGCATGGCAATCACTGGATCTGATGCGCAAAACAATGTCAATCACACACCCAAGTGAGAATTAACTCTCGAATTGCTTGGGCCGAATGGTTTTGGGCATGACACTGGCCAACAGTCAATCAGTCAACACCGCTCTCAAAGCACATCTTCTTCTTCAAAAAAAACATTGAATGTCAAATTCACTGTTGGTGGCAATGTGACTGGGTCACCGCTGTATGTGTGTCCAACTGAACATGTGCCCTTCGACATTCCATTGCGCAAAAACATGACATATGTACGATGAATGTTATGTGTTGAACGCCGAAAGCACTGACAATGCCTTCATATTTTCACCAGTTAGTTGATCTAATGATTCATTCTTCCAATTGGGTGCACGCTAAACAAACTGCCAACCACATCCCGTATGTTGGAATGTGAAATCCATTCCCGGCAAAAGCCGCTGCCTTTCTAATAAGTGGAAACTGGAATGGCTGAATTCTGGCAGCCAGTGCATGGTGATGACAAACAGGCCAGCCTTGTGCAGCTAGCCTCTCTTGGCCAGTTAAAATGGTTTGAGACGAAGGGTGGTAAATGATTCCCATACTCTTTCTCAGCACAGGAAACTTACCACTGCCAGTCCAACAGCAAAACCTCTCAGGGTTGTCACCCAAATGCACAAAGCAATCAATATCCTGATGGGCGGGTACACCGTATCTCTTGTGCCACATCTTGGAATATGTGTTTAAACGCTGTTTCTCAGTCTCCAAAAGAAGATAGTAGAAGGAATTAAACAATTTGCCAGGCTGAACTGCTCGCAGTCGTATTCCACGGGCCTCACAGCAACACATGCCCACATTGACTCTCACACCGAATCGGAGAAATACAACTGTCAGTCCACAGTCACTGAGACAGACGGCAAAATTCATTCGCAGTAAGCTTCAACTAGTAATACATTACAACTAGTGCCAATGCAATGTTGTTCATAATAGTAGAGCCTCAAAAGATTGATTGTCACCAATCAAGGTACTAGATACAGGATAGCCCATGTGCCAACCCCAGTTGATAAATAAATGGCCTGCGCCAAGTTTGCTTCTGCATCTCTGACATCCATGGGGGACGCGCAAAGCAGATCTCTCGGCTTCAAATCTCCTTGTGCCAAGCGCCGTGCTGCAATGACTTGATTGGACACCAGTTGTAGAACCGTGTTCACGTTGTGGGTCAGCTTTGCAGCGCCTGACAGAAAGACCATGACGATTCAACGGGTTGAGTCAAATGTCAAATAAATGCCTGCCAACTGCCGTAATCAAAACGCACAATATTTAATAGCGTTTGTTTGCGTCAGTCAGTCTCTTCAAACAACATAATTTATTTATATATTTGACCTGACCTCGAAGAAGAAGCATGATGAACACACGTGGTCGAGATAGATGCTCGCATCCAGAAGATTCAGGTCCGAGTTTGAATTCATGTATATCATACATATCCTGCATTAGACAGTGCAGGACCTGAGTCGGGAATTGCTGAACGTTCTCCAAAAATACTAACCTGGTCCGGCAACATCTATGCCAGGCTAGCAGACACAGGAGCACTGGAAATGAGCCACCGTATATTCCCCGTTGGCTGCCAGCTGGACTAAAGTCCACACACGGAAAACCAGAGGTGTCCAGATCGCAAGGCTTGAAGAAACACCAGGTCTTGTGAACACTGCAGTACATCATTGGCAGTGGTGGTGCTGTGAAAATATTGCCAATCATTTTTAACAATGTCCACCCACTCAGGTGTGACATCTTCATTCCAAAATGGTCAAGCACATCTGCTCCAACATGTGAGTCCTGATCTCCTGATACTGCGCATGATGCCTCCAAGACAAACCGACATCCAGAGTCACTGTCCTGACAGAAGCTCAGAGAGTGAGCAAGTCTAGCTCACTCTGAAATGCTAACAGGACGGTTAAACGGTACTAAAAAGGTTCCCTGAACCAAGATCAAAGTGCTACTGACCAATGGTGTCGGATGCTGCTGGTCAACCCGTGTTGTTGCAAAGCAGGCTTCAAGAAAGACTCAATTACAAGTTTATCCGGTCCAATGCCAGCGCAATGCGCCGATGCCAAAGTTGCTTTGATCAGCGCTGATTCCTGACACAGACAGACATTTACATGATATTCAGTGATTCTCACCAACCAAATCTAAACTCAAGCCACTTCACATGAGAGACTTTCATTCAGTGAAGTGTGATATGAATCGTCCAGGTCTGGTACAATGGATTCCTGTCACTTCAGAGTTTGTCTGGCCTGTTTGTTTGTCGTCTGTCTGCCCGGGCCTTCAAGTGCGCAACCCCGAGTAGGCTGACCAAAGTATTGATCACAACAAAGTGCCACATAAATGTGGCAGTGAACCCAGGGCTGCATTCAGTGGGAGCAGTGGGTCTGGCACTCTGTTCCATTGCAATGACAGTCGGTCTGGGATCCAGACTCAGTCACGTCAGTCAGTCAGTTGAACAAATCTATGTAATGTTATTAGCAGCAGCACCATGCCATAAGTCGATTGGTTACATTGTTTATTGTTACAACTCTGCACAAGGTAAATGTACAAGCAATAAATGTTGGTAATCGCATTCTAGTTAGCGTGTGTTTGTGTGTTTTTTTTTGTTTGCTTTGACTTGACTTGTGGCTTGATCTGCTTCTCAGCTGAACTTAAGTCACAAGTCCCAACACGTTTCGCTTCACTTCACCGCCACCCAACAAACACATGAAGAATGTGCTGGAGAACTACTGTAAAAGGAAGTGCGCACCTGTGGGTTTGGCACAACGCCAATTTGTCTGGCAACGTCAATCACTGTGAAGAGGTCGCACTTCATGCCACCACCCACTAAGCCAGCATCCCACAGCACCTGACAGAAGTCATGGCTGAACACAATATTCATCACATATTTGGTTGCCTGCCTGCAGGTCTTTAATTGGCACGGCATGTCTTTATTGTTTTGAACAAGACAGTTTCATTTGGCAACATATGTCAATTTGCCCTCTGCCTGCCTGGACCACAGTAGCGCTTGACATGATCTGCTTGGCAATGGTGTTGTAGGCAGTGGTAAACGCCTGGCAGGTAGACCAATGTGACCACGTTACGTTTACCGCATCCGCTTACCGCATCAGAGAATCATCACCGAGTTGAAATGACTGAGTCTAGTCTTTGCGTATACATATATATACAGTATATATATACATGCGACAATACAACTGACAGCTCCCAAAATGTCCAGTGCAACTGAATTGAATGAATCAAGCCTTGTAAAAGTTGTGAGCACGACGGTCATTGTGATTCAGCAGGTTCTCAACTGTGGTGGATTTGCCCTGCCAGCGGCATCAGAATGTCAAACATTATATATTCATCAGCTTAAAGTTGAGCTTTCCCATCATTGATACTATTCACAACCATCATTGGTTCATCCAACATTTGCTCAGGTTTTTGATCGATTAATCCAAAGCATCTCATTCATACCGTTGCAATGGTTGCATGAAAGCCGGCCCTGTGACTGTGCTGCCAATCAGTCAGTCATTCAGGCCTGGCCTCTCTCATCTCTGTCAGAACCCAGTCGTAGTACCCATGCTGAGCTAAATCCCGTTCTGATTTCGGCTCTGGTGGTTTCTGGCTTGCAATGTTCTTGACATTCGGGACTATGGCTCGTACCCACTGACTGACTATCTCACACCCAGCTGTTGATAGCTCAGCACTTCCCAAGCTAGCAGCTTGCAAGAACATGGCGGCAGCCACTTCTCCCAATGATGCTGTCTCCACCTGAGCTGAGGTGAATGGGTCATTCAACAAATGCCATGGAATCATTCCACACCATGAAATCATTCCACAACTGCGACTCACACTGACTGAGTGAACCATTGATGAATGCCAAGACTAAGTCACTGGGTTGGTGATCACTTTGGAAGGCAAATGAATCTGATCCAGCCGGACACCATTCCACCAAGACAAGAACTCAGGCCATGCATCAACACGTGTCAAGGCAGAAGATTCCAGCTGACGAATGCTCCCATCCACAATCGGCAAGGCCTCACCGTCTATCACAACAGCCGAAAAAGATTGTGGGAGATTCTTCACGGTGTTGATGAAATCACGGAGGAGACAAGCGGCCGTGAACTTTCTCTTGTGTGCTCTGTCCTCATTTGACTGCTGAAGCATGCACGTGATGATCAAGCAGATCAAGAGCGTTGTCTCCATGTGAGAATACTTCATCCACTTCAGCTCTTCATTGGAAACAAAGGTATCACGACGCTCTGAGCCACCATGCTTACCTCCATCTTGCCCGTAGCAAACATTCGGCATCGGCCGATTGCCCCAGACCATGCGGAACACGTCAGATAGTAACTCCTTCCGTTCCTGCAGAATCTTCATCAATTTCCTCGAAGTTGGCACAAGTTGGCACTAGTCACTGAAAGTGACAGAGGGTGACAGGTGAGAAGGTTTGAAACCATTTCAAAACCGCATAGAGTGAGTGACTGAGTGAATATTCAAAAGTTTTTTCACTAATTTTTGTCAACAAGCCTCCGTGTTTGGCCGGGCCACAAAACTTGTTTCACAGGAGCTGCCAGCCAAAAAACACGCTCTGCATCGAAAACCACCAGTCTAATGCTAGGGCTGCTTGCATTCTCAGGCCAGAATCCCAACCATGGCCGAGGGTCATCATGAGTTGACATCTCAAAATAAATAGTTTATTTGTTATCTTTGAATACCTAACTAACTCCTGCCTTTGTTAGTTTGTTTCTGATGTTTCACTAACCTTCTGTGGTGGTGGTCATTAAGGAGTGGTGACCTGGTGTGTTGACTTGCTCAGTCAATCCACAACTTTAGTCCTGCCATGTTTTGTTTGTTTCATTTGGTTGTTTGTTTGTCCAGTGCCGTTCATTTTGTTTGTTTGAGTCAGTCTGACAGAGTCTGTGTGTTCCTTTGGGCCATAACTCTGGAAAATGAATGAATACACAAATGGCTCAGCCTGAATTGCTGACTTCCTCCATCCCCTGATTTGTCCTCCCCTACAGCTGCCCCGGAAAGGGTCGTGGTTTTTTCGCTTCATGTCTTTTTTGGGTAGACTATATATCTGTAGAATAGCACGGAAAAGGATCCAGGTGACTTTGCATAGTCTATAAACATTTGTATTCATGAGAGAATCCTCCTATCCCCTGGAGCCACTTTTCTGCCCATTTAGAGGTCATGGTATGTCAGCTTTCGTCCCTCAAATGCAGATGGCCCCAAGCAAGAATTGCTTGACTTACTGAGAAAGGTGGAGACAGAGGGCCTCGAGAATGGACAGCAAGTTTTTTTTTGCTAGGTCAGCCATCTTCTCTTCCAAAGCTGGACTTTCCCGTCAGCTTTTCTTCGGATGATCTTCTCATGCCCGACGCCGTTCGCTGCCCAGTTCGCTGGACTTGAGCCTCGAGAACTTGCGCCCGGCACCGGTGGACGAAGAGGCGTGGTTGCCGACGGCGTGGCGGCACTGGCACCGTCTCTTCGGTCCTGTCGTCGTTTCGGTGTCGGGTGAAGCTGCGGGGGCAAAACACGGTGAACCCCTGGCGAAGGAACAGGCGGATTGGTGGGGTATTTTATCACGGGGTGATGGTTTTTTTGGGGCTGGTCCGACCTGCAAGCAAGGGTTCTGCAAAGATACCTGGAAGATGTCCTGGAAAGGGAGGACTTGAGAATCAAGGCCCCAAGTAGTGAAGGTGACAGTAGAGGTTACCATATCCATACCCTTTGTGGCCACTTTTGGTCGATCTTTTTTGGGATCATCTGCAGGTGTGAAGTCGCATGTAACAGGGAGTTGAAGATCACCAAGTCCGTGGCGTTTGTTGTGCAGTGTCTTTGAACCTTTCACACAGCATCTCCAACTCTCTGGACAAAGACGTGTGACAAACAGGTTTTTCTGTCTTCTGATGCTACTGATTCATTTGGACCCATCAGATGAGCTGTTCAAGGACGTCGGGCCCATCTTTCCAATGACTCACCATCAATTTTGGGAAGTGGCGGGCATGGGTTTTGCCACCACTATTACAATACGCAACTTATTACAGTATGACATCTCAGGCACTAGCCCAGTGAGAAGGTTAGGTGGTAGAGCTTGATTTTCAGTATGCAGTATGAAATCATCTATTGGTTCACCAAATGAATGGTGATTGTGTTTGTTCTTTCGAATTTGGCGGTAGCCTCCTGCTGAGGGAATAAAGATCGCCCTAGCACCATGCACAGGGGAATTACTTACCCCTAGCACCTGCTGTTAAAATATAAACGTCCTGTGTTGTTCACTATACGCAACTTTGGTTTGAGGAGATGACACTTCTATCTGTTTCCTGGCGCCTGGAGTGTTTTTTCGCCACGTCCCTGGATCCAACTTTCCGTGCAGGTGCATTTGCACGGCCTTTGCGGAAAGATTGAGCTCCTTGGAGGACAGATGTCTTTGTCCAGCGGGGCTTGGCCCAACGTGAGCATATCCAGATCCATTTGGAAATCAGGCCTCTACAAGCAGCACCATCACCACCATCCAATGCGCAATGGGGATGAAGCAATAAAGGCAATTAGGTGGCTGAAAGGGCGTAGACATAAGAATACTCATTATCATTATTAATAAGGTGTCAATAAAGCACTACAGTAGTGCAACCTCCATCATCCCTAGCGGTGATGCAATTGTTTGTCACTTCCAGCTATATTATGAAAACCATTGAACTACCCGGAACTGAAACCAGACTGATGATATCAAAGCAGCAGCTGGGTTTTGGTTCTGAACTCAGGTCGTCCTTCTTTGAATGGCAGAAGCCTGGGAATGATGGAGGGGAATGGCTGGCACTTGGGCTGCAGGCTCCGAAGCGCCAAGGTCCTCATCGGAACCTCCGTAACCGCCCAGGCAGAACAACGACATCCCCCCGGTGGAATGAGGTTAATACAGTAGAGAGAGAGAGAGATCCGGAACATGAAAATCCTGATTCTCATTGCAGTGCACTTGGCGTCTCTATGGGTTATGAGTGATGAACCTGTCAAAACGAAAGACTGACCGAACAACCACCCCCCCAAAAAAGAAACAGGAATTGCGAATTTATTTTCTTATGTTTGGGAGCTGGATCTAAGACACCAGGGGGCTCATGGTGCTTTGAGTATAGTAAAGTATTTGCAACGATCTCCAAATCAGATAGATGGAGAACGTGACTCCTGTTTCAACATGCGAACCAGAATGTGCTCCTATTTTGTTGCTCCAGTTTGTTGATTGCTCGTGGGACCGATGTTCTATAGATCTCTATTGATATGCGTGCTGCTCTGTGACAATGTCAAGTTCTATTGGACCCAAGACAGTTCTAGAGTAGTTTCTAGAGTATTAGGACACTAATAGGTGGAGGCACTATTAGGTGGAGGCCATAGCAAGTAGGTTGGAGGCCATCGCTACTAGTAACAAGAAGCTACTAGTAACAAGGGCATCTTTTTTGCACGCGTTGAGGCAACCACTGAGTCGGCAGAGATCTCGATTAACACAGGCTGGTGAGCGGATTTGGCGGGGCGTCGTGGGAGGTCAACCGAAGACCCAAAAGGATTGACTGGAAGCACCCCAAATAGAGTGGTGGATCATCACCCCCATACAGTATACTAGTTGAAGATTGATCTTACTCTTTTTGGTGCCAGCGGGACCATCTGGGCCCGATAAAGAATCCCAATATCATGAGATTGCTGAACAAGTGAAGTTGTGCATGGCGACACCGGAATCTAGATGGAATCAACTGGAGAGTCCAGATGAGGTTTTTAACAACAGTACTCTGGACTTTGGACCCTTAAAATTCTGTGCCCCACTGCTTCCTTCTTTTTGATTCGCAACATGACCACACTTGGACCATCTAGACGCCCAAAAGCACTGATAAGATGGTCCCCAACCTTGGTTCCACTCCCCTCCAGCCCAGTTCAGGTCATACGCAGTGCCTCTTGACGGGCTTGGCGGTGGGGACCACCGAGCCAACGATGCGGCTCCAGTTCGAAGAGTGTGACGGCGGGGTGTGGGGCGGGGGTGCGGATGGTTGATCAACTGGGACCCAGATCTCAGAGCATCAAAGTTCTCGGTCTCAGTTGAGTCCATTGGCCAACAGAATCACCAAAGTAAAGGGAGTGGAAGAAGGATGAAGAAGGTGATTGTTTTCTAATGCCCTGTGGGTCTTTGAAGAACCGACAGCGTGTAGGTCCCTGGCGCTTATTATTTTTTTTTTGTGCGGCCGCAGCCTTGTTTCCAGGGTCATCCCTGGTTGATAGGCCTGTCTGACTTAGTCGATGGTATTTCCCACCAGAGATCCACACATGGCTCAAAACAAGGGTTAGACATCTCTCTTTTTGTAAGGAGCAGCAAAGCGGACTAAACAAAAAAACAACCCAACAAAATCACTAACTTAGCCAGCAAACCACAACCAAACGCAAATCAACCAATCCGCCTTTTTTGGGTTCCATGTGGCTTTCTTCTTTCACAGCCACACAACCTAGACCTCACCCGTCAGGGAAAGCTGCGGTAATCGTGATGCTCCGACCACAGAAGGGTGGACGCTTGCTGCACCGGGCACCGGGTGGGGAAGCGGCACAGGTCACGGAAGGATGAGCAAAGTACCACAAAGAGCAGAAAGGCTATGATAACATATCATAGTGACATAGTGTTGGCTTCATGTTTGTTTGGATGTTCATCTGTACAGCTTAAGGGGTCAAACACGCAGTTCGCCATGAAGATGGATTTTGGCTCACAATGGGGATGTGTGACTATATTCTCAAGTCAATTCATTGAAGTGCAAACCAAATTTCCTGTAATCCCATATCAATGTGATGGAGCAGTGGCCAGCTTGCATTCGCGATCCTTTGATTGCTCAGAAAAGCTTCACAGTTCTTGGGACAAACATCACAAATTCTCACATGGGATATATTTTCATTTAGTCGATATTCGTATTGTTTGTGGAAAAACACATGCAACAACTTTGTATGTGGCCACAAGATCACTTCAGGAACACAACGGAAGACGCTTCCATAATTACAGAAGAGCAAGAAAAGGAAGAGACAAACTGAAGTTGATCATTCTTAAGCTTTCCATTATTGTTTCATTTCTTGAAAAAAAGGAGGTTTTTGTAGCCTCTTCCCTCCACAGCTTTGATGTCCAGTGGAGGCATATGGTCCCATCACACCCAGCTTCGCATCCGAGGAATGAAGCTGGTCCAATGGATTTGTGCCGTCTCCGCGGGCACTGACCTTTGCTCCAAGGCAGCTGGCGCTGTTGCGGACGGTGAAAGCCGGACGTCGTCGGTTCCACCGGAGTCGTCTGCCCTGTTCCAACGACGTGCGTCATGGTGAAAGCCATGTGTCACTAGTTGCGAAAGGTGCCTTTGGGTTGGGGCAAGCGTCAAGCCAATGGAGGTGGCAGTTTGCAGCCTCAGCCGGCAAGATTTTCTCACGTCTTTTGCCTGAGACGACACGAGTCCTGATCCTGGAGAGCATTCGCCCCAGAAGTCCAAAGAAATGCTCGAGAAGAGAGGGTGTTTGAATCAATTGTCAGTCATGCAGTCTTTCCAGGTCTGGACATCATACAATTATATATATCTTACTCGAAATGAATCAGTCAGTGACCCTCTCCCAGTTTAGAACAAGATTAAGATCCATGGGTCTTCTGGCGTTGTGTGGATTCTGGTTTGGCACGTGGGGCACTTGTTTCCCTCTGAAACACCCTTTGTCCGGCCAGGCTGCGGCAGCAGTAGGAGCCTGGGTGAAGTGGAAGAGATAGCTTGGGTGAGGGAAAGACGGCCTTGTGTTTCAGAAGGAAGGGGATCACCGAAATCGATGGTTTTGGGGGTGTCACCCTGTAATGATCCCGGAGTAGATCAAACTGGTACCAAGGTCAGGGGTAAGATTGAGGAAACCTGGCCATCAGGTTCAGCATAGATTTGAGGCACACGGGGTTTGTCAACGGCCCAATCGTTTTTCTTTTGGTTAGCCCCGAGTTCAATGCACGAATGATTGGGTTCAGTTCACCTTGAAGCGTCCAAAGCTTCCTTGTGCCGAAATAAAGTTGCTCGAAGTCTATACTATAGATGGAAGCCAACAGAGCCAACAGAGGTCAGATCGGTCATGAGGAGCGGATCGAAGCATGGCACGGTGGGGCAAACTACCACCGGGTCTCGGGTGGACAGCAATCTCAAGTGATGAACAATATGTGTAACATTTTGGTTCCTTTATTCTGATGGTGAACCACTCAAACGGTCGATGCATGGAATCGTTATCTCTAGACTGGCCGCATTGGGACTTGCTCTCACCTCAGTTGGTCTAGTCAAGTCAGTCTACAAAGCCCATCCGACTCTGATGTGGTGCCGCTGGACATGCGATAGAATTCAGTCAATGGAAATGGGGCAACGCAACACCACGAGCAACATGCTTTTGCAGTGTCCCAAAGTCAATCTAGTGACTAGTGACTCATGCAATCTGCGTGAGAATGGCCAAAGCCCACCAAGGAGACCCCATGCCAATAAGTGTATGTCATGTCGGTCCACCTCAACCATGCCAAGTCGACATTCTCCGAGGAAGTTCTTCCTCCACTGCAGACTGATTCCTTTAGACATAAAGTCTCATAGTCGGTCTCCAGGTGCGACCCATCCCGTTCGTTCCACCTTCCCAGGTGTCCTTCAGACACTTTCAACAAAGTCTCAGGACACTCCAGCGTCTCAGTCACGTCGATTCGAGAGACCTTGGACCTCACCGCGTTCAACGCCGCCCTGGCCGAAGGCGCGAGGTTGGAGAGTGAACGGGGTCGCTGGTGTTTTGGGGGTGGTTGGTTGGTTGGTTGAGGTGCTGACTCTGGCAACTCAACGATTTGGAGGCAGCAAGACTCAATAAGGTTATGCAAAGCTTCCTCTGACCATTTTAACCCGGAGCTTTCCAGTTTCGCTCCTGACCCTACGTGTCTTTTTCTCCACTCTTTGCTGTGTCACCGCAGGCCTGCTCCACACCAATGCACGCTCCGCATGCTTTGAGAACCTCCATTGGTTCACGGCCCAGAACGGACTAGGCGCGGGCACAAACGGTACGAACGGTCGCAAGAACGCGCTGTGGTGTTGTCCACTGTCCAGATGCAGGAATCAGGTGCTTTATGGTGGCGTTTATGATTGAACTGGACATGAATTCATCTAATTATACTGGCAACACCGAACATGCCTCGATTGAGATGTAATTAGTATGGGGAGTATACAGTAGAGCAGATACATCCCCTACATAGTTGATCCAGTTGGTTGGGCTTCCTAAAGTTTACCAAAGAACTTGAACAGCAGGGATTCACAAGCTTTAGTCCTGCCCGTGCTTGTTAGTCTTGAAAGCAATTCGTTGCGAAGTGCAGATAGCCTTTTGTCCAGTTGTCTTTCTGTCGCTCTGGAGTCTTTGTCCCTGCCTCCCGGGCCAAAGCACTTGAGCTTTGTTGAGGGTCATTTGGGATGCTGTACGGTAATCTTAAAACAGGGCTAATGGAGGGCACCTCTCATTTCACTGTCCTTTTGGGTGTATGGCTTGATTCCCTTTTTTTTTCTGCCAGTATGGGCACTTTCTTTTTTAAAGTCACCAGCATTCCATGGGTTCTTCAATTACACCGTCGCGAGGAAGAAGCTACTCATGGCCTTTTTTTGTGCTTGGATGCACTTTTGGCTGTTTCTGTGGTGACCGACCGAGACAGGTGCCTGCCCCTGCAACTCTGCAAGGTGTCATCACACTGAGCATGTCATGCTGTTGCAATCCGAAAGTGCCGACAAGTGGTGCTGCTTGCACGTACAGATGCCGACGTGAGGCAACGCATTGGAGGGCTGTTGCTCTTTGTCTGTGTATGCCGGAAGTCCAACAGATATTATTGGCGTGGTCTTGCAATCAATCAAGAGCATGCCGACCGTCCCCATGCTCCATCGCGCGAGATCACAAGTAATAAGTCTTGCAGTGCTGACGCATCAGACAGAGATGGTGTGAATTTCTTGTTGGGAACACATACATGGACATGGACACACCGTCATGGACCTTGTGAATTGTTAGGGATTGACACACAGATGGGCATGGACTGACCGATTGAATGACATTCTGAGAGCTTTGGATGATGCATCAGCCGACAGTGAGTGGCACAGCGGTATGGCCGCTCATCAATGACACGCTCGAAGCTTGTCGCACACGGGCCTTTCCGAACAAGTTGTGCTTGAGGTGGAAGGGCAGGCAACCCGTGGAACACGTCCGAACCGCGCTCAGTTCATCATCATGCTTGGGCGTGCACCTGGCCGGACAGCGGCCGAAGATCCAGATATATGATAGTTATATAATTGTCTTGCTACTAGTAGGTATGCCCTTTGTTCCTAGTAGCTTCTTGTTACTAGTACTATGGCCAGGAGCTACTAGTAGCGATACCCTTTGCTACTAGTAGCGAGTTATATAGCACGGCTACTTCACTTCTCAGAACAGCTGATGAAGCGTGCAGGAACACAAGGTCTCAACATTGTTCACTCAAGGCGTGAAGGTTCATTGTGAACAGCCCAACTTGCTCTTGCTTTCTGCGCGTTGCTGGGAGAATCATTGGACATACCATACTAAGTCACCTACCGGTATGACGAATCAGGTGGAACCGAACATTGAATCCTCTTCGCTTCGCACTTCGGCAGGCATTGCTGAGGAGGAATGGCCTTTGCTGATGGAAATCCGAAAACTCCTAGCACCTAAGAAGGTTCGGGCCGCGGCGGAATCCGTTCCGGTGCAAGGGTGAGCTGGGTGAGCTGGGTGGTAGGAAATATCGTTTCGTCTACAATTGAATGTTACATGGCTATTTTTGCAAGCAAACGCCGTTTTTGTTTGGGAGACACTCCAGGCTGCTGAATGTCCAACCACATCAAGAAGTCGGAGAATGTAAAGCACGGAAGACACACAACAAACATCTCGAAGCCCCACATAAAGAGCATCAAACAAATCTACGAAGGCCATTTATTGGCAACATAAAGGAGAGCAGGGCTATGCAGGTTGGTGATGTGTTGATGTTCATCCACTGAAGAGAGCAGGGCTATGCTTCGGTCCTTGCTGTTCACTGTTTACGGCAGGTGCCCAGCATGCCCGTGGAGGTTGAAGTCCAGGCAAGACACGTTTGGCTCGTGGGGAGCGGTGGGTGAGACCTACTAGGAGCAAGGACGCTACTAGGGGCTCCTGGCCTTACTAGGAACAAGAACGCTACTAGGAGCACAGGGCATCGCTACTAGGAGCAACACACTCGTCTCAACGACAATCAGTCTCAACCGTTCGCTCCATTCGAGTTGAAGCTTGGGTCTATCTCAACCTCACCAACAGTACAATGATGGTCAGGCTTGGAGTCAACACCCAGTTTGCTAGTAAGTATTTGTGTTGTTCAACACCAGCAGATTCACATCCAATAGACAGATCTTCAAGAGTCAGCTCCCGCTGTTGACTGGTGGATGACCACTGCCTGGAAACCACTAGAATCGTGTGAACTGCCCAAACTGCCTTCCTGTTTCCCTCCCAGAAACAGATGCCGCCTGTCGTCTTGTTTGGAAACCCAAGGCCGTTTTTGCACCCCCCCCTTTCCTGCAGACTTGTTAGGTCTTGAAATGACGTTACATCCGCTCATTGGCCCTGAGTGTACACTCCTGAACACTCCTGATCTTCCGACTAGTGACAGCGCCTAGGCATAGTGACTTTAAAGCCGCCTAGCACTGTTGTGAACCATTCAAGACCAAGCACATCATGATGTTTGCTGCCTCTGCTGGCAGCACAATGGCCATGAGATGCCCCTGGCAGATCAATCGACCCAAGAGGAATCCACCTCCGACCCTGCACAAACCTTCACGGTCCGCAGGTTTCGGAGGTCTGCTTCCTGAACTGCACCCAGCAGTGGAACCTTCAGAAATGCGGGGCCTTGCCGGCCGCTGTGCCACGGCCGCGATGGCGACTTCATTTTCGTGTGTCCTTTTTTTAGTAGCCAAGGGGGGTCAGGAGGCACTAGTCTACTAGTATCGCACAGAAGTATGTTGTGAATGGAGAATGGTACTTGTACCCTTACAAGAAGGTCTGATCGGGCGATAGTGACAACTCAGAAATCTATTAATTGGCTAAGTTGGGTGCGTTATTTTCTTTGCTTGATGTGATCCTAGGGCTGTCGGGGGCTGAAGTTAAAGCCGGCTGCATATATGGATGTGTTGCGGATCTATTTGAAATGATTCAGAACTAAACTAAACTCTGCAAAAGATCTCTTCAGAGGATTTCAGATCTTGAGTTGGGCTCTAGAAGGCTTTAACACTTTAAGCAATGCCTGTTGGAAGTGTCACTTTCAATCCCGCTGGATTAGACTGGGGGACTGAAGAGGCTAGGTTTGTGAGTTAATATCCCAAGATGGACTCCGACAGAGGTAGTCCTCCTGTGGTTGAAGGAGGTAACCCTGATTCACCTTGTACTGGGGATATCCACTGTATCACATAGACCCTGCATGTTGAGGATGAACCTCATCAGCTGGGTTTGCTGATATCACCGAAAGTACAGATGCCTTTGGATGTGCTGAAGTGAAATTTTAGGGGTCCTCAGTAGGCAGAATACATGAGACATAGTTCTGGTTGATGCGCGAGACGTGATTCTCGCACTCAAGGAACTCATTCAACTTTGATTGAGCTCTCTGCATCTTTTCGACTTGAAAAAGTGGTCTGAAAGCAACCGACATGAAATACTGAAAGAATCATTTCCTATTTCTTGTTTGAAAGTACTTCTTGCTTCAATTTTAGGTCATTCTTTTCATATAGTTCTCAAGGAATCATTGTCTATAATCCTGCAGGTCTCTTCTTTGGAGAACAACGCAGTTGCTTGGCCTTCGGTCTCCGAGGCGCTGCATGCGCCCGAAGTGGTGACGCCCAAGCCCTTGGAGGCGGTGTTTTCGCCGGGGCCGTTGACGGTCGAATCCAAGTCGTTTCGGAAGGCCAGAAAAACAGATGTGAAAACAGAGTTGGAATAGTGATCTGCTGCCAGTGTGTAAATGTATAATTGTTGATCGAATATCATCGAACTCCTTGAAGAGAACGAGCCCGGAATTTGCCTTGGTTTTCTTGTCCAAGTGGAGCTTTTTATGGTTCTATAGCACATATTTTGGGCGAACCCGATCCTGAAATCGACGTGTTGACGGGGGACCCGCATGAGGTGCCACAGAGTGCAGTGCTCTCTCGGGAGCGCTTGGAGAAGTTCGGGGAGGCGGAGTGGGCGAGGAAAAGGGTGGCTTTCAAGGATGGGAAACACAACTTTTTTTGCAGAAAAACGGATAGAGAAACAAAGTATGGCGAAGATATGCTCAGAATTCAACAGATGAAAGTACATAGATAACTGAATAAAGTCATATAAAGTCTTGAGGAATGTCTTGGACTCTCAAAGAGGTTTAGAAGCCAACAAGGTCCACCAAGACCCATTGCTTTTGTAATGGATACCACATGGACACCAGGACTGCCAAAGAGTGGTATCTGATACATGTGCAAAAGCGCGAGCTTCACTCTTCAACCTCTGGTGAATGAAGTGATGATGCCCGAACGCACGGCTTATGACCTCATCGCCAAAACTAACCCTGCGTTTGTGCAAGAGATTCTGCTGTTATTCCACATCGAAAATGCCCAGCTTGATCCTTTTTGCCAGCAGACCTGCCGTTTGTGAGTTTAGCAATCCCAAAAGTGCGTGGCAGTGAGGGTTCGAGAAAAGATCACTTGGAATGACGTATCGTTAGCAGAAATTCGAGTTGGAGACAAGAAACAACTCATCCCAAACATTGCGAACTCATCCCCAGTGCGATGGTCCTCAGGCGTTGAGTGATTCGGAGACTGCGCCGTGGATGTGGCTGCTGCTCGTCTTTGTGACTCGGCGAGACTCCGAGGTCGTTGGTCCCAGGATGGTCGGCAAGCTCGGCCATCCTAAAGCAATGTGTTGGTTCCCTCACTGCCTCCAAACTGCAGGAGAGCTTCCCAATCCATCTAGGTAGAATCTACGGGATCACCCACTATTGTGGAGAAACTCTGAGTGTGACAGTGGTCACAGTGTGTGTGACACAGCATCAGAACACTGAGGGCCTGATGATTGGCATTTTCTTTGCCATGCTGCTCTTCCCTGTGTTCGCCTACAAGGCCCTCCGACGAACTCCTGGGTATAGAAAGAGGGGGGTATCTGTGTATATCCATGGGCATGTAATGAATCCAGAGCAAATAGGCGATCCGAGAGATGCCAAGAATGTGGCTAGCCGATGAACGTGTTTTGCGGTCTCTTGTTGGTTTAACAGGCCATGTGTTTGTGCTACAGACCATTGCATACGTTGACTTCTTGCAAAGCTCTTGTTGCATCTCTTTTCAATTGTAGTTCTCTCTTGAGCTGTCCTGTGGCAGCAGAAAAAGACTGTTCACAGGGTTCAATATATATATATATATACTATTTTTGTCATATAGTTATATATAGTATGAGCCACATGTTTGAGCCAGATTCTACGTATCATCTCAAAGACAAAGGATGGTGCATTAGCTTTATATACTCACTTTAAAGATCCTAAGTGGATGCTACTTAGCTTCACTTGGCTTTTGCTAAGTAGGCCAGATCGGCCATTGATGTGTGTCAGGAGATCCCGAAGAGGCCCTTGCGCTACAAGCAGGCTCTGTGAAACGCGTGGATCACGGGGATTGTTGGCGGTTCTTGACCGCTGGTGTAGAGAACACAAGGCATAGAGATATATGGCCCGTTAGGGCCCTACGGCTTGAAGCTTTGGCTGATGCTTTGTTCAAGTTTCTTGACCAACGATGTGAAAGTAGGAAACCACCCTGAAACTGTGTGTACCACGGCAAAGAGCACCAATAGAAGCATGGGTCCACAGGGACAAAGTGATATGAGGACCTGACCAAGTGGAAGTCCACGGTTGATTTTGGGGTGGAGGACAAGGACTTGCTACTGAGACCAACCACGAC